CCTTGTCTATTACATCTGTCACTTCTGTCTCTTCAAAAGAGCACCACAGCACCTCCAGGTGGAGTGTTTAAACATTAGCCTGCATAATCAAAGTAATTTCATTTTCTTTCATTTATGTTATAAACTCTGTTTTGCACTTGAAATATGTCAATTTTACTCTTTGATAAAATCAATAAATTATATGGAAGAGTAAAAGGAGAAGTTTTATAAATATAAAGGTAATGCGATGACGACGTTTCTATGAAAACGTTCTTAACATATGATCGCAGGCTTGCAGCATTGACGCCCAATATTCTTGTGTATTATATTTATTTATTTGTATTTTCACATGTAGGAACCTTCCATCTAACAAAACGTTTCCACCGGCGGACTGTGTTGGTACAACACTCAACGCTGTTGCCCTGCGTCACTTCCTCCCCACGTGAAACGATTGGTACATGTGAGGAGAATTATCCACATTCATTTACTGCAGGTTTGTTCGCGTTAAAAAGCCGCTAAATCATATATAGTCATCTAATGATTATCGAGAGCAGCACAATGGAGTCTGAAGATGAGGAGTCTCTGCTCGGGCAGGAGTCCGAGGATGAGAACAGTGAATTATCAGACAGCGAGGTAAGAACTGTTGACATGCTAACATGGGCTAAAGCTAACAACCGTAGAACTAACTTACTGTAGTGAAACGTAAATGATACAAAATGTTAATGACACACACTCGTGTCTACAGTTGAGACGATAACGGTCACACTACTAGTATACATTATCTTTGAGCTTTGTTCATATTGTGTACACCTTAATGTACACTTTGCACATTCCCTGGTCCAAAATGTATTCCTTTTCTGAGCAACTTTATCCAACTCTTTCATCAAAAACTCGTTTATTTTTTGTATTTGATTTATTTTCATGTTTCACGTATGTAAACTTTTGCAGTACCTTCTCCCCCCCCAAATTCATTGTATGTGAAAATAATCTTACTCCGGTTAAACATATTGTGTATGTATGTTTATACATTGGCAATAATGTTAATGTAGAATAATACGTTTGATTGCACAACAGTTTATTAAAAAAAAAAACGTATATATTCATAATAATGTGGTTTTTCTCTGGACGTTTTTCCGTGTACGATGTGAGGGTCTAAGGACAGAGTGTGTCGTATTGTCATACTGATATTCTGTACAAACTGTGAAGACTACTGAGACAAATGTAGCATTTGTGATATTGGGCTATATAAATAAACATTGATAACATATATTTTTTGTTTTCTTTAGCTTCAAGAAGCCTTCGCAAAAGGGTGGTTGAAACCAGGGATGAACGTTTTGGTGGATAAAACCAAAAAGCATGTCAACAATGTGGTGAGTAAAATCATTACAACAAACCTAAAATGTTTGCATTGTTTTTCCAGCTTTTGCGTATTTCTATGGAATGTTAGTTACTAACTAAAGAAACATATAATTTGACAGATTTTATTGATGCTATAGTGAACATGTAAAAAAGGCTGGTTTGAATAATGAAATGCCTTAACATGGCCTACTTAACATGGCCTACATGTACATTTGCCAATACTCTGTCCTGTGTGTATGTTGTGATGCAGGAGGGTTTGAAACAATGCCTGGCTGGCTTCCGTAAAGACCTCCCCTGGGCGGAGAGGTTGGATATGACCAACCTGCCGGCTGAAGACGTTATTTACAAAGCAGAAGGGAAAAAACCAGCTGTAAAGATTGGAGATGTCAATCCAGATGATGATTTCCAGAGAGAGATGTTTTTGTAAGTGACCCTGCAATATATGTTGAAAGTTTGAGACTCGTAAATGGTCGACCGCGGGGGCAATGCTGGTAGATCGCGAGTCATTCATAAAAAATAAAAAAATCCAGCTCCATTAAAATAGACAAAACAGGTTTTGATCCCTCCTCCCTTGGCCTCCCTGCCACTTAATTGAGGAGTTTACTTGATTGACAGAAAAAGCGACCTATCGCTTTCCAGTCTGTTAACCCAGAATGCAAAGCGATACAAAATCAGTCAAGTGCCGAGAAAACTCAAATTAAGTTCAAGAGACAAACAAGAGACAAACAACAAAATGATTGCGGGACCGAGCAAGAAGCTAAAGACAAACCACTTCCACCCAGAATGAGAGGAAGAATATTTTGTTGTGATGTCACATTCAAAGGTTATTTGCCTTATTTGTAAAGCAAGCATCGCTCTGCCAAAGAAAGGTAACGTGGAGAGGCATTATCGGAGTGTTCACAAGGCATATGACAGCGACTTCCCTCCGAGTAGAGAAAGGTCATGTATTATTAATGAATCGTTTCATTAATCGATTATCAACTTAGTCGTTTGTTGCAGCCCTATTGTAGTTATCCCATGTATAAATAAAATGTGTTATTCAGCAACCCTTGCAATTTGGGATTTTATTTTTGTTTGGTAGACCTCGGTGAGCTGGTCATTTCAAAAGTAGCTCACCAGCCAAAAAAGTGTGGGCACCCCTGCTTTAGACATTTAGTTCATGTATTCACTCTAGTTCTGATGTTGACTGCCACAGATGTTACATTTTTAACCCGTTCATGAAAAATATGTGTGTTAATTTATAGCTACCGTCAAGCTCAGGCTACAGTACTAGATGCGTTGCCTCTCCTGAGCAAACATGGCATACCCACCAAGAGGCCTGACGATTATTTCGCAGAGATGGCCAAGTCTGATCAGCAAATGCAGAAGGTGAGCTAGTTCTTAGATTCTACACTTGAATGATAAAGGTGACATGTTGTGACACATGTAGTTAAAGCAACAGAAACCACTTCAAAGCTCATGATTCATTTCATTTCGTTTTTATGTTCCTTTGTCCAGATCAGGAAAAAGCTTATCTCAAAGCAGTTGATACTGGAGAAGTCGGAGAAGGCAAAGAAACTGAGAGAGCAAAGGAAGTTTGGCAAAAAGGTTGGTCAATGTTTTTTAATTATATTATTTCACTTATGAGTCTTTTTGAATACATTTTGAGTGCCTTTTTTTGTATACTTTTTATTTTTTGTTGGCTTTTACACTGGTTTGTAATTTTAACAAAAAGTATGCAAAACAGATGCTAGTCTGGCATAATGTCTTCATAAGGGGCTAATAGAGGCCACAGTTCTTCTTTTGGTGTGGAGAATTAACATAAACATCTTGATTGTGTGCCAGGTCCAAGTAGAAGTGATTCAGAAGAGGCATAAAGAGAAGAGAGATATGATGTCTTCTGTGAAGAAATTCCAGAAAGGTACGTTTATTTACAAGTGTTTTGTTTCACTGTAAAAATGAAAATGAATGTCATTTTGTGGGCACTGGATTTAAAAGGAACTGACGTTAAAGGTGGGGTAGGTAATTTTGGAGAAACCAGCTCGAATGCGCTAGAATTTGAAAATACACAGCCGGAAGAAATCAGCCACTTCCTTACAGAGCCCCTCCTCCAACACACAAGAACGCGCACATGACCAATGAGGGCACGAGATCAGTTTGTGCACAGATGGAAGGCTGACAGGCAGGTAGGCCATCCAGTTATTTTAGCCGGGCCGGCTCAGATGATTGGTCGTGCTTTTTACAGTACTACGGCTTCCACAGATGACATTTTTTAATGGATTTTTTGTCAAAGCACTTAAGATATTCATTGCTATCGGGATGTTAAGAGCATTCCATGGAATATAACAAAAAGTGTATCTCGAGCCGGTTTCTCAAACGTACCTACCCCACCTTTAAATATTGATGATTCTTAAAATTACCCTTTCACAATTTTCAAAAGTGAGAATGTTTTGAGTTTTAAGATTTCTCTTCATTCAATTACTAGGAATGACCGACAAACTGGATTTCTTGGACGGAGACCAGAAGAAGCCTAGAGAGCCTTCTCAGGCCCAAAACAAAGTGGCAAAAGACAACAAGAAGGGGTAAGGTGTAACATTTTAGCTGCCATTAACATTATATTTTGTAACTCTTCTTCACAAAAAGCTAAGTGTTTTACTGTTGTTTTGACAGCCCCAATGCCAAGAGGAAGTACAAGGACCAGAGGTTTGGCTTTGGAGGCAAGAAGAAGGGAAAGAAGTGGAACACCAAGGAGAGCCACAACGATGTTTCTGGTTTCCGCGCCAAAGTCGCTAATGCAAAGGGGGCCAAGAAAGGTGCCAAAGGAGGAAAACAAAATGTGAGTCACGTCAAACACTGCTGACTGATATAATAAATGCTGAGATATTGTCAAAAGAAAGAATGAGACAAACTGTAGAGATGCTCACATGTTGTTCAATCTGATTTCAGAAACGCCCTGGCAAATCTGTGCGCAAGAAGACCAAGTCTCGCTCGTAAAAACTGACTGAGGCGGTCAATTGGCTGGACTTGGACCTTGTTTCTAGGCAGGATTCCCCTCACCTGCTCACCAGTCTCTCCTCCACGTACATCATGAGACTTTAGGAGAACATGGACTTTAATTCTAAGCTTTTAGTAAAACACACCTCCGTAACATGTCTGGATTGATGTGGAGGACCCTTCATGAGACACAGAGAGATCCTGCCATATTGCTAAGGCAGCTAATTGAAGGACATGACTATCAAAATGGTCAACCCAAGAGTGGACTACATAAGTTAAAAAACAAGAGAACATGTATTTTCTTCTTTAGGGTTGTTAAAGGCCAATTGTCTTTTGGCATGATTTAAGCCTCTTTCTGTGATTACACCTCAGTGTGTACACCAGCCTTGACGCTGTCTGACTTACAGTGTGTGTGTGTGCTCTCTTCGGAGTTTGTTGTGTTCTGTTTTATTTTTTTCTAACTCAGCTTCTTGACTCATTGATTCTTTCATGTGACATGACATTTTATATATTGAGCGCCTGTTCGTTTTGCCCTTTCCTGTTCATTATAATGATTAGTATGTGATGGGCAAGGGTGATTCAAATAGACCTGTGCAAATGTTGTCCCTGCAAATGATTTTCCTTTGCTTGCTAAGAGGAAAATACACGATGTACCTGTATGTTTATAAACAAATAAATCGGAACATAGGTTGCTTATTGTAAGAGATTTTTATTCTTTCTCTCTTCGTCTAATTTGAAGCACGCATGGCCTTTTCCTGGTGTATGGTGACGTCTGTGCTGATTCTGGAAAAATGGAATCTCCTGTCATTGCGGGTTGATGGTATCTGGGGAAAAAATAATGGACAGAATGAGAATTTGATTAAGATCTGGAGATAAAGATTTAAATTAGTTACATAAGGCCAGGAAACGGATGGCCATGTTTCTGTGGGTTCTTTCATCGTTTGATCATACAAATAAATGATTCTAAATTCAAGAGGGCAGGCCTTCCGCTCACAAGGCCACCCTGATGTCCTGCAGTTTGGTTAATAATCATTTTAAATCAAAGCAATGTTTTCACTCACCAGTGGAGCTGACAGCCACCCTATCTCATGACTTTCCGTCAGTGGCATTGCATACTTCTTGGTGGGTTCTTGGTGAGCTTTGTGGAAGGCATCGATGAAGTCCGCTGGGGAAAATAAATGTACATAATCAGTATCCAGATGTACACAGTGATTGAGTTCATATCTTCTTTATCCTGTTTGGAAGAACATTATATTGTTTATCCAGAACACTTTTTGTTTCCTTGTAGTTATCCACCAGAGGGAGCTCCACAAATCATGTGAAACCCAGATTTGGCACAAAAAAGGGGGAATACACGTTTCGCAATTATGCCACATCAAGGTGGAACGCTCTTCCCACAACTGTAAAGGAAAGAAAAACTATACTTACCTTCAAAACCTCTCTTAAAGAGCACCTTCGGGGGAGAGCATTGCAAAACTGGCCCCGGTAATGGTACAAATCTCAACCTGTCGTTCAATGGACAGCTCCCCCCCCCCCATCTATGTATATACTCACATTTTAGACTCTGTTACTAACTGTATATCTGTAGACTTGGTATGTCTTAAATGTCCGGTTAGGATGTATTAGAACGAAATCTAAAATGAAAATTGTAAACAAGCAATCTGTATGTAAATAAACCACCTGTATGTAAATTGTAAATAAGCCATCTGTATGTCAAATATGTCTTATATGTCTTAAATGACATGATGAATTGGAAATGGGGGACCCTGATGTAAACAAGACGAAAGTCTTTCTCTGGTCTGCATCCCCTTAACAATTGTATGTTTTGAGCTGTACTGTACTGTACCCAATATACAAGCTGTTAATAAACTTTTCAATCAATCAATCAATCCATGTAAACTTACAGTTCTCTGCAATCACTTCTGTTGGTTTCCTTGACATGGGTTTGTCTGGCAGGACGTGTACTAAATGTAAAAACACGAGACAAAGTCAATCTCCCTTGCAATAATACAGGCTTCAGTTATAATTAACAACAGATACGTTGACAACAAGCATAATGGTAACAATTTAGTGCCCAATATGTTTATTCTCAATGAGTAATAGTAGGCCCATAAGCTATAACCATTTTGACGACACTTTGTCATTTCTCATTTTTTAACTAATCTTCATATTTCACATTCAGATCAGAAGTAGGATTGATGGACGGAAATAAACTATTGACTGACATACTTCACTTTTTGTACTTACATGTCCTGTGTGGGTTGATGCTGAACTCCGTGTGGAGTTTCTGGTATCTTTGCTCTTTCCGGATCGTCTCAACGTGAATTGAGTTTTGATGGACTATATCCAGCACCGGTTTCTCCTTTCCTGCCATTGTTTTTAATGTACAACAAAATGCAACTGATACCGAGAGCAGGGAAAACAACGAGGTTTTCAACGACGTTAAGGAGTTTGGACATTATTTCGTAACCTAGCAACTGTAAACACAGAGCCTGGCGCTGCAGTAAGCTGAGGCCACCACGCGGTGGAGCAGCACGTTCAGGTTTGGTCATTGTTGACTTTATATTTCTTTTTACGGCATCATTACTCTCCAACAAATTCTTTCGATAGCATTAGTTAGGCTGCTTCACAGATTAAGATTAACAATAACAAATATATCTAATCAATATGTAATGTGAGTTTATTGAAGCTTCTAAGCAGTTTATAAAGAAATGTAGATTATTCCTACCAGCTGCAACTTTAAAGTAGTAGGCCTACATATTAATGCATTATTTGAATTCCAGCTAAAATATACAGATTATTCTGAAATATACGATTGAGTATTTCGCTTTTGGTACTTATATTTGAAGTTCATATTTTTGTAAGATTTGACTCAGGTCAACGGCAAATGTAGGACTATAAGTTACAAAGCCTCAATTAAATTATTCTCTGTTAATGAGTAAATGATTTGAATACTTCTTCCACCACTGTGAATCAGCTACATAACAAAGTGGAAACTAACAAAGCAGTAGAGATACACTTTTTACACAGAATCTTATAATATACCTTTGTATGAAAGTGATTGTAAATGTATTTCTTCAGACTGAGAAAAAAACGTAAGTAAAAAAAACAGGAAACAATGCTCAAGACAATTTTTCTTTAATTTGTGCATCTAAGTAGGTTTTAATTTAATTGTTTAACTGTACTTGGTATATAAATAGAGAATATAATCAGTGTTGGATCAAGAGTTTACAGTAAACGAAACCAACATTTTCTTAAATTTGTGACCAGAACCACGGCATTTCTAGTTTTAGTCTCAGAGCTTTGCAGTCCTCCCACTGACTTCAGAAAAATGTATTCTTCTGAAAAAAAAGCAGATTTTCCTTCAAACGACTGCTGATTTGTACCTGGTTGATAGTTTCCTGAAGCTAACAAACCCATCAAAATGTAGTGGAAGAGCGCTGAATTAATTAATATGTTCCGCGAGAAAATGTAGCCGGACTACAGTGTGGTTTTAGTTTTTTTTTGCTTTCATACTGTATGTTCTCTTAGGATGACAGTTGAGGTAATTTTACTCAGTACACTCAGTACACGTCTGCTGTCAGAATATTTGAAAAATGCATATATTTTCCCTGCATGTGCACAAGCCTGCTCAAGTGCATTCATGTGTGTGTGCTGGCCTAACAGCTGTGAGCGTTTCACACTTACAAGAAACACACTTTTAAGAAAGTATTAAGCTACCCAAGATGACCAGTGACCTTGTGACCGTGCAGTGTGTGTCCAAAAGTAGAGTGGCATTTCTTCACATTGTCTTGGACTACACTTGACTTCCCCTGCTCTCAGCGGTGTCACGGATCACACATAAATAACAGTAGTTTCCCATCTTGTAAATAGTAGGCCTACTTATGGTTGAGTGGTTGCTGTTGGTCGCGCTGATATACTTTCAAGGCTACAGTTACAACCCTGCCTTTTACCACTTGTCTCCTCACATTTAATTTCCCTTTAATTTGGTTTTCCGCTTCTTCTTCTCCTGCAGCCTTTCTTCCCTTACACTATCTCCTCTGCTTTTGAGAGTAAATTTGCTCATTTGTTTTTATCTTTTTGTGTGGTTTTGTGTATTTGCTTCTTCTAACAGTTAGACACTTTAGTAGAGGTTGAGACATTCAGCTTTCGGTTTCCATCTCATAACCTAAATCAAGCTTTATTTGCCCTATGTGAAATATATAATTGAAACAAGTAATAACTGTAAAGCTGGAGGGACTTGAGAGGAAGATTGTGTAATTTCTGTGTGGGTGGGTGGCAAGTCCCCTGTGGTGTTTCTGTACCTATGTGAGGAGGAGTGAGCAATATGTATTACGGGAAGATGGGAGTGCTTGGGGTGTTGAGCTTTGTTCCCCGGCTCCTGTCACAGTGTTGGAACGAGTTATCATCAAGGCAGCTTTACAGTTCCTAAGGGTAGGTGCAGTCAAAGGCCAGTTTGTGAGTTTGTTCAAAATCCAGTGTCAACCACATGCCAGGAAAGGTACTGTACGTGGTGTGTGAGTTGATCCAATGAGACAAACTTTCCACTAACTATTTATCAATCCCCACTTCAGACACATAGCCTACTTACAGAAATTAGGAGACATTTGTACAGCAAGAAATGTTTGTTTGCAGCAGGGAACTAGTCTCCATCATCCCCTGAGTGGGAGAATTTTGTTTGCTTATAATGTGGCTGAGAAAATCATAATGACTGTCTTGTGTGAGGGGAAGTGTTCTATTTCGTCCCTACTGACCGCCAGAGGCGGTGCTTTAAGCACTGGATATGTCCATCGCGCGCATGCGCAGCTCGAGTACCAATAACAACAAAGTCACCTGTGACCCACGTGACACCGGCTATATCAGCCGGTGTCGTCAGAGGATCTGTTCCTTTCATCTTCTCGCTGCGCGAGGGTACCGTGGCTACATTTTTGGAGCCTACAGCATTCAGGTTTGAACGTCTGATCTGAGGGATTGCTCTGCAAGCAGCTGGCCGCGTGCAGCTTCGCGACTGACAGTCGGAGCTACGGGTCGTTAACACGTCCTCCAGGAGCTGTGGCCGGCTGTGCGCTGTGCAGAGCCTCGACAGACAGGTTGGTGTCAGCTTGTTGCTGGTGATGGCTGTGTCCCCGCACCCTCTCCCAGCCAAGTTGTCCTGATTGCTGTCTTATTTTTTGTTTGGCTTAGACTTTCTGGTGACGACAGTGTTCCCGCTTCCTCTCCCATAAAGTTGCCCTTATGCTCTTTTGAAAGTTCTGCTTGTGGCGTTGTGCCCGAGCTATCATTAGCATTTGAGTCCCAGCTTTGGCTGTGTCCCTCATTCAATTTAGTATGGAAAGCCCAGAGTGTCATATTTTAAACCCGTTTTTCGTTTAGATGCAGAGAGTAAGGCAAGTACTTCCTATTTCTTAGAAGCTATTATCTGGTCTTAACATGTGTGTTCTGACTTGGTCGCTTGATTGTTAGCAGCAGCCGCTTGGCTAACACCTTGCTGTTAAGCTTAACTATTAACTCAGCCGGTGAGGGCAGTGCTCCCGCTCCCGGTAACATAGGGTTTGATTGCAGTAGCGCTAGATCGTTGTATTACTGCTACTAGACTCCTAGCACTAGGATGATATGCAGAGAACATCTTCACTGCGGGTGCTGTGTGCTCCGCATGTGCGGTTACTACTGTAACCATGGCCTACGGTTCTATGCGGGCTGTTCTCTTTCTTAGTATCTAATTATCTGGTCTTAACATTGTGTTCTGACTTGGTTAATTGATTGTTAGCAGCAGCCGCTTGGCTAACACCTTGCATGTACTGTTAAGCTTAATTATTTAACTCAGCCAGTGAGGGCAGTGCTCTCGCTCCCGCTCCCGGTAAACGCATGGTATGGTTTCAGTAGCGCTATATCGTTGTATTTACTGCTCCTAGTACTAGACTCCTAGCACTAGGACGATATGCAGAGAACAATCTTCACTGTGTGTGCTGTGTGCTCTGCATGTGTGGCCATTAAGGAGGATTTCATCCTCCCAATATTATATTATCTAGTGGGCAGCCGTTTGGCTGACACTTTTAGGCACCGGCCACAGTTACTACTGTAACTAAGGTTCTAAGCCGTAAGTACTGGCCATAATTACTACTGTAACTACGGTTGCAAGCCGTGTAAGTACTGGCCATAGTCAATACCGTAACTACGGCTCTATGCTGTGTAAGTACTGGCCATAGTTACTACTGTAACTACGGTTTTAAGCCGTGCAAGTACTGGCCATAGTCAATACCGTAAACGGCTCTATGCTGTGTAAGTACTGGTCATAGTTACTACTGTAACTACGGTTCCAAGCCATGTAAGTACTGGCCATAGTTACTACTGTAACTACGGTTCCAAGCCGTGCAAGTACTGGCCAGAGTTACTACTGTAACTACGGCTCTATGCTGTGTAAGTTCTGGCCATAGTTACGACTGTAACTACGGTTCTAAGCCGTGTAAGTACTGGCCATGGTTACTGCTGTAACTACGGCTCTGTGCTGTTCTCTTCTTTAGAAGCTAGTTATCTGGTCTTAAACATGTGTTATTTGACTTGCTCTCGCTTGATCGTTAGCAGCAGCTGCTCGGCTAACGTCTTGCGTGTACTGTTAAGCTTCTTTATTTTACCCAGCTAGGTGAAGGCAGTGCTCTCGCTCCCGCTCCCTCTACCGGTAATGCGGATGTAGCTACATCCCTTTTTCTGTTCAGTGAGTAGTAGCACCGCTCTACTCTTCCCGTTCAGCAGGTAGCTGGTGAAGGCTGTGTTCCCGCACCCGCTCCCGGTTACGCTGCATCTGGCATTCGTCTCCAACTCAACCAGTGAAGGCAGTGTTCTCGCCCCCGCTCCTGGTAGACGCTGAACTGCCTCGTTTTTACGTTAAGCAGGTAGCTGGTGAAGGCTGTGTTCCCGCACCCGCTCCCGGTTACGCTGCATCTGGCATTCGTCTCTAACTCAACCAGTGAAGGCAGTGTTCTCGCCCCCGCTCCTGGTAGACGCTGAACTGCCTCGTTTTTACGTTAAGCAGGTAGCTGGTGAAGGCTGTGTTCCCGCACCCGCTCCCGGTTACGCTGCATCTGGCATTCGTCTCTAACTCAACCAGTGAAGGCAGTTCTCGCCCCCGCTCCTGGTAGACGCCAAACTGCCTCGTTTTTCCGTTAAGCAGGTAGTCGGTGAAGGCTGTGTTCCCGCACCCGCTCCCGGTTACGCTGCATCTGGCATTCGTCTCTAACTCAACCAGTGAAGGCAGTTCTCGCCCCCGCTCCTGGTAGACGCCAAACTGCCACGTTTTTCCGTTAAGCAGGTAGCTGGTGAAGGCTGTGTTCCCGCACCCGCTCCCGATTACGCTGCATCTGACATTCGTCTCTAACTCAAACAGTGAAGGCAGTGTTCTCGCCCCCGCTCCTGGTAGACGCGGAACTGCCTTGTTTCTCCGTTAAGCAGGTAGCTAGTGAAGGCTGTGT